GAGAGAGAGAGAGAGAGAGAGAGAGAGAGAGAGAGAGAGAGAGAGAATCCTCTTGACCTAACTTCTGGATATACTTTCAAATAAGATGTTATTAATGTTGTCTCTTGAGGGCATTCTATGTACAGTATACCTTGTATGCGGGATTGCTGTTGCACTGTGCGTGTGGGGTGTGAGCTTGGCAGAGGAAGGGCCAGTGTTCTCTGTGTGTCACTGCCAACTCCCCCACTCCACCCTGTTCTTAGGTTTGCTCTCTATTTCTGAGTATGTGTCTCTGTGCCAGTTTAAAGTTGAATCCAGGCTCACTGGATCGGAGATGTAGACTGGGGACTAGGGATGTGCCAGAGTGTTTACCTAACATACATGGGCCCGAGTTTAATCCACAGCACAACCTCTTCATGAGTGTTTTTTTGCAAGGAGATTAGTTGACTTTATAGTTTTTGTGCCAAAGTGAGACCTATCTTGCTTTGTTTAGAAAACTTTAAATAAGTATCCCAGTTTTGTGTATTAGTGTTATGCTGTTATACTCTATCTGGCAGTGAGACAGGGGAGTAGCCTCTTGGGAGTAGCACCTGTCTACGATAGTCTTTTAATATGAGCTGAGAAAGCTAAGCCAGTCTAATTGTAAATGTTGGTAGTTGAGGCATAATGGTGTGAAACCACATTTAAAAAGAAATTAAGTCTCTGTAGCCAGCAATCCAGGGTAAAATCCTAGGGTGACAGTTAAATTTTGGCATCATATTTTCTAGTAGCTTATGTGGTATTCTAATTGTGGTATTGGATTCCTTTTTGTAATTTATAGCATAGTTGGTGTTTAGTTTTCTGAGAATAAAACTGCCCATTTGAAGGTGCCTCTGACTGAATCCCATGAGGGCCATCCCTTACTGAACAAAAGCCGGAGTCCATCCTCTTGGCTGAACCTTTTTCTTTTTCATTCTCTTTTGGTTTAATATACAGCTTTTATGCAAACACAGAAGCCAAAGGCTGCTTCTGAGATGTTTTTTCTCTCCTTCACTCTTTTGAGTCTCTGTGAAAGGATAGTAGTCACTGACTGCTTCCCTCTTGTGGTGTGACTTGGAAATGTTCTTGTCACATTTGCTGTTGATGCTTGTGGCCTCCGCACAGCCTGTTTTGAATAGCTCCTCGTTGAAGACAGGCACCGTCCTCGTTTGCTTTCTATTGCTGTGATAAAGACCAAGACCAAAAATCAAATCAGGTAAAAAGCTATGGAGCTCACTCGTCCCAGTCACAGCCACCTTCAGGGAAATCAAGGGAGGAAACAGGACAGGGATCTGGCGGCAGGAGCTGAAGCAGTAGCCATGGGAGAGTGCTGCTTGCTGCTTACTTACTGGATGGAGGCAGTTTCTTTTCTTTCCTTCTTTTCTCCCCCCCCCCCTCTCTGTTTTTCTCCAGACAGGGTTTCTCTGTATTGTTTTGGAGGCTGTTCCTGGAACTCATTCTGTAGACTAGGCTGGCCTCGAACTCAGAGATCTGCCTGCCTCTGCCTCCCAAGTGCTGGGATTAAAGGTGTGCCCCACCAATGCTTGGTGCTTCTTTTCCTTTTTTTTTTTATTCATCTATTTATTTTATGTCCCGGCTGCAGTCTCCCGCCTCATCCTCCCCCCCAATCCTTCTTCCCTGTCCCCCCTCTTCATTTTGTCTCTATCTAGAAAAGGACAGGTCTTCCATGAGTGCATGGCATATACAGCTGCATTAAGTCTTAAGCTCCTCCCCATGTATTAAGACTGGGCAAGGGGACTCAGTATGGGAAGTTGGGTCCCAAAGCCAATAAAAGAGTTGGAGACAGCCCCTGTTTCCACTGTTAGGAGTACCACAAGAGGTCCAAGCTACACAACTGTAACATATATGCCGAGTGCCTAGGTCAATACCGTTCAGTCTCTGGGAGCTTCAGTGAGTCCAGGTTATTTGATTGTGTGAGCTTTCCTGTGGTGTCCTTGACCCCTCTGGCTTCTATAATCCTTTTTCCTCCTCTTTTGTAGGATTTCCAAACTCTGCCTAATGTTTGGCAGTGGTTCTCTGCATCTGTTTCTATCAGTTGCTGGATGACACTTCTCTGATGACAATTTCCATTTCAGGCTACTTATGCACTATTGCTAGGAGTTTAACCTGGAGTACTCCCTATAGACTGCTGATAGATTTCCCTGTGTCAGGCTTCTGCCCAACCCTGAGACCCTCCACTCCCCAGCAGTCCCTCTTAGCACTCTCCCCCTCTAGCCCCACAATCTGATGGCTCATGTTTCCATCCCTCCACCTGCCCTCAGTCCACTCATGAAATCTCTTCTGTTTCTCCTTCCCAGGGAGATCTGCCCCCCCCCCCCAATTCTCCTTGTTATCTAGTGTCTCTGGGTCTATGGCTTGTAGCATAGTTAACCTTTACAGCTAATATCTACTTAGGAGTCAGTACATACCATGTTTGTCTTTATCGGCCTGGGTTACATCACTCAGGATGTTTTTTTTATAGTTCTGTCCATTTGCCTTCAAATTTCCTTGTGTCCCTGTTTTTAACAGCTGAATAATGTTCCCCTGTGTAAATATACCACATTTTCTTTACCCAATCCTCGGTAGAGGGACATTTAGTTGTTTCCAGGTTCTGACTATTACAAATAAAGCTGCTATGAACATAGTTGAGCAGTTGTCCTTGTGATATGATTGAGCATCTTTTAGGTATATGCCCAAGAACGGTATAGCTGGGTCTTGTGGTAGGTTGATTCCCCGTTTTCTGAGGAACCACCACACTGACTTCCAAAGTGGCTTTACTAGTTTGCGCTCCCACAAGCAATGGAGTAGTGTTCCCTTTATTCCACATACTCTCCAGAATGAGCTGTCATTTGTATTTTTGATCCTAGCCATTCTGACAGGTGTAAGAGGAATCTCAGAGTCCTTTTGATTTGTGTTTCCCTGATGGCTAAGGATGTTGAGCATCTCCTTAAATATTTCTAGGTCATTTGAGATTCTTCTATTGAGAATACTCTGTTTAGATCTGTTCCCCATTTTTTAATTGGATTATTTGGCTTATTGATATCTAGTTTCTTGAATTCTTTATATATTTTGAAAATCAGCCCTTTGTCGGATGTGGGGTTGGTGAAAGTCTTTTCTCATTCTGTAGGTTGCTGTTTTCCCCTGTTGAAAGGAGGTAGTTTCTTTAATGAGATTCATTCTTCCCAGATGACTTTAGCTTGAGTCAAGTTGACAAAAAAACTGACCAGCATAGATACCTTCCAGGAGTCTGTGGAAGAATCATTAATTGGAATTTAATTGGCATACTATACCATCTGTATGGACAATGCTGTAGAAGGTGCATAGTTGTTGTGGGGCTTTTATTTCCTGTGCACCATTTTGGATGTGTAATGTGTACAGATTTTTACTGTTTTTTTATCCATATAGGTGGTGTGATTTAACACACACAAGCATTTAACAGGGAACTCCCTCAATTCAAGGGGGAAGGGAGGAGAGAAGCAGGAGGTTCTGGGGCTAGTGGTGCTAGGTTTATTGTTAATGAACGTGAAGGCCCAAGCCATGTGTGGTCAGCATGACTGTGCTAGATGACCATCCTAGGGGCAACCTGGGCTTTCCTAACAGAAGCCATTGTTCAAGTGCTTACAAGTCCAGTTTTGCTTTTGGAGTTGTATGCTTGCCAAGATGCTTTGAGATGATTACCTCCTTATGCTGTGTATGCTCAGTGTCCTCCTTGCAGTTTCTGGGCATCACGACTGCTTTTCAGCATCACTTACCTCTAAAATAGATCCTGTTTTGGTTATTGTGCTGGGGCCAAGATGAGTCTGCCTCTCACCCACCAGGAGTGCTGTGAACTCTATACCCTTTGGGACTCTCTCCCTCCTTCTTTCACACATCTCTATTGATACTGGGTGCACTGTGTTTGGAGTGAGTGGCTCTTGGGCTCTCTTGATGTAAGACCAGTCTTCTCTAGCAGAGATCCTGTGATAGTGGCTGCAGTCTCACTGGCCATGGGAGCTCAGGATCTTTGTTACGGAGAGCTGACTTTTGATGAGCTAGGGGCAAATGGTGACAGACTTTCTGTGCTCCCTGTGCCCTGTAGCTGTTCACAGAGGGAGAAGAGAGAGCGGACTTATTCTGCTCGCTGCTGCTGCTTTACAAACTTCTTGTTTGTTAAAATATGGTTGGAACTGCTTTGTGAAAAAAAACTTTTTCTTAGTTCCCATAGTAAATACTGAATTTTATTGACTAGGTGATGACTTCTGTGGTGTAAATAAGAGAACTTGTAAATTCATGGCTTTGCTGTTGTTTTTGTGGCACTCCTGTGCTGGTCCGTAAGCACACACATGTGCCCGTTTTTCACAGGTGGTTCAGGATTGATGGCTTTCAGTGATCACACTTTATGACTTTGTATCTTCACCCACCTCTCAGGTTTTCTGGGTTTAAATCACGGCTTCCACTGACAGAGTGTCTCACAGTTGACTCTTCTGCAGTGAGCTCCCCAATCCAGGTCTGAGTGTGGAAGGAACGAGTCTCAGCCAGAAGTGTTGAGTTCTTGTTCACTTTGCTTAGAAGTAACTTGTGTTTCATGGGGCTGTTTTCCATCCTGTAGGCAGAGGTCTTTCAACTGGAAAGAATACCTTCTGTTCTTTATTTTAACTACTAGGGAAAATTTAACAGTGAAGCATTGCATGAAGATTTAGGCAAGCAACCCCATGGTGGGGGACCCAGGGTTAAGGTTGTGAATTCTGTTTGGGCATTATGGGCTGCTGTGGTGGTTGAGGGACACAAGGGGTGCCACGCAGGCTGTGGGTTCTAGGTCCTGTATGTATCCTGGGAGTGTTGGGTGTGGAAATAGTCCTAGAGCCTGATGCTGTGTGATGGTGGTTTGAGAAAGTGTAGGCAGTGAAGAGCAGAGCCAGAGACTGGACAGGTCACCTCATACACAGAGGGATAGGATCCCGCTACTCAGTAACCAGAATTCACACAGCAGGATTATTATGGGGAGGCAAGGGATGTGGCAGATGTGTGACCTGAATTCCCCAGGAAATGCTCATCTGAGTGTCTGGGATGAAAATGTGGGAATGAGTCTCCCTCTCTTTATTCCCACCAGCCTGAATCGACATCCTGCCCCAGAGAACCAGTGATGCCAATGTTAGATGACATGTACCACTCAGCCACCCCATAGCAACAATAGGCAGGCCCTCACCCCGAGACCCAGTGGGATTCCCCTGCCACACACACCAATAGAAACTGTGGTAGGTAGACCTACCCATCCTGTAGGGAAAGTAACAGACACACCCATGGAACCACAGAATACAGACAGATGGATTGCTCAGAACCACTTCCCAATAGAGAGTGGGGACCTGGGGGTGGTGTCTGATGGCAGCAGTGCCACTTTGGACCATTCAGAGGTGCACTGCAGGCCCAGGTAGAGGTCAGGCAATGAGGGTTGTCTTAGCTTGCTTAGCTCTCCTTTCCTCCCTGTCTGTTTAGAGATCCTGTCACCTGTCACCTGTCACCGTTTGAGGTGTGGCATTCCCCAGTATTGTGGGCCTTGGTGCTTTGATGCCCTATATACCTGCTAACAGTATTCTCTATCTCCGGGACCCTTTGAAGCTGTGTGTGTAGCTGAATTGATGTCCTACATACCCGCTAGCATTCTCTGGGAACCTGTGAAGCTGTGTGTGTAGCTGAACCCTAAGCGTAATTTCTCAGATGCTTGGGGAGAATGGGTTGGTGGGCTCTGTGACCTTGGGCACCTGGCCTGAGAGAGGTCTGTTCTCTAGTGGCTGTACAAGGCCCTTTCTTCACCTTCCCTGGCTGGGTTCAGTTGAGGCTCTGTGTGAGTCCTTCTGAGAGAGGAGTCATCTTGGCTTTGATCAATAAAACTTCCTCCTATTTTTTTTTATTCTAGAGAAGCCTGTGTCACCCAAATCAGGAACATTGAAGAGCCCTCCCAAAGGGTTTGATACGACTGCCATCAACAAGAGCTATTACAACGTGGTGAGTAACTGCAGGACAGCTTCTCAAGTGTCCATAGACTATGAAGTCAGTTGTTGCAGATAGACAACTCTGGTGTCCTAGAGGGAGTGTCTAGTATGTTGGATTACCCCACTTTTCACTGTGTGAAGCTATGACTATAGAATGTCTAAAAGTAAGATTTTGAAGGGTATAGTGCATGACAGAATTCTTTCATGCTTCAGGTGCCACTAGGACTGGTTGGAGTGGATTAGACTTTGCAGGTCCTGGTTTATTTTGTTTATTGCTCTTGTCTTTCTTGAGACTACTGTGCCTATATTAATTTACATGGAATTAGATGTAGGGCCTAGACCAGTGCTGCGACCCTTTAATACAATTCCTCATGTCGTGGAGATCCCAACCATAAAAACTATTTGTGTTGCTACTCCATAACTGTAATTTTGCTACTGTTAGAATTGTAATGTAAATATCTGTGTTTTCTGATGTTCTTAAAAGACCCCTGTGAAAGGGCTGTTCAACTCCCAAAGGGGTTGTGACCTACAGGTTGAGAACTACTGTCTTAGACTCTGGACAGTAAATACAGGTATTACAGTGTGTTGCCCTTGACTTCCCTACTCTCTTTTTGCCAATCCTCAGTTGCCTGGGTAGACTCAGTGTAAGTGCTGTCAGCTGTCAGAGGTCATTCATGTTCCTGTGGAGGCACTTGGGGGCCTGCACCTGAAGTTTGCCTCCATGGTGTGCACTCAGCTTTCCACTGGGTACCCAGATGTTGGCAGCCTTGCTGAGGTTCTGATGGTGCAGTGCAGTGGAAGGGATACATGTCCTGGCTCTAATTGTCCTTGCCGCTTAGCCATGGAGTGGTTGGGAGATGAGCTACTGGCAGCCTGAGCAGTGAGTTGACCTATGATATGGGGTTGATATTGCTAGCATTGGCCTTGTAGCTGCCTCAGCGGTGACTTGACCTACAATATGGGTTTGATAATTGCTGGTATTGACCTTGTAACGTGAAGAGGATTTGTGATTAGCCTTCAGGTGCCCAGTGAGGTGCCATACAGGTTTCCATGGTACTGGGAGGCACATTTAGAAACTCTGGTGCTATTCTGTTTGCCAGAAAGTCTTCTGGTCACTTCTTAGGATGCCCCTGAGATCTTAGTCCAGTGACCTGATCATGTAGTTAAAAGAGACATGCCTGTGACAGGACTATTGTTTGAATTGAATTGGATGGATCCTGACAGTGAAACTACTAGCTCCACCCATAGTGTGATGGCAGGCATCTTTCCCAGTAGGGTCCAATAAGGAGTTGGGTGCCCTACTCTGAGGTGCCAACAGTGTTGTCTATGTCCTCATTCATCATCCCTGGAGGCTGCTCATTTAACAGCTTCCCTTTCTTCTTAGCCATTGTGTTGTTAAAAGAAGTAACTCTGTTCATGCCTAATATCACAGGAATGCAAGGTGACTTTTTCCTTGACATGCTTATACAAACTGTGAGTGATAGGTAACAGTCACTAGTTACAATCTGCTAGTGTCCACAGCAGACTTACATCTTTGGACGCTGATAGACACCCCTGTGCTTTCTCTTGTGCTCCTGAGTATCACTGGGCTTGACCTCTGCTCCCTGCAACCTCTTCAGTGCTGGGCCAAAGAAGAGAGAGTGGCAGGTACTGTTGGCCCAGGATTTGCTTCAGCTGATCTTTTGTCTTTAACTTTAGTCAAGATTTCTTTTATATCCCATGTCTTAGTTTTCTATTTCTGTGAAGGGACACTACAACCAAGACAATTTATAAAATAAAACATTTACTAGGGCTCACAGTTCCAGAGGGCTAGAGTCTGATTTTCATGGTAGGGAATATGGTGGCAGCAGCCAGGCAGGCACAGCACTAGAGCAATAGCTTAGTGCTTTCATCTGATCCCAAAGCCAGGAGGAGGTGGGTAAGAGTGAGAGGGAGAGGAGAGAGCAGACACTAATTGGGAATGGCATGGGCTTCTGTAACCTCAAAGCCTGCCACCCAGTGATACTCGTCCAACAAGGCCACACCTCCTAACCTTTCCCAATCAGTTCCACTCACTGGGGACTAAGCATTCAACATAAGCCAGTGAAGGGCATTCTCATCCTGTGACCTTGCGCGTCTGATAGGCGAGCTTGGGGAGGCCTGCATTATGACTCCTGGCTCTCCTGGGAGTGCCCCACTTCCTGTGTCCTGTCCACAGTGTTGTGGAGGAGGGGCCCTTGCCAGCTCCTGAACAGATTTTTCTCCCTGTTGTTTACTGCTTGTTTCGTGTGGGCCCTGATGACACAGGCTGTAGTTTGAGGTGGTACTGAGAAATCAGCATGATGAGGAACAGAGTGTCTGATGAGTTACCTAACCCCTGGGGATGCTGAAAGCCTCAAAGAGAGCCTCTGAGTGGTGGTCCTGGCAGGCTGGCTGCAGTGTTAGGTGGGTGGGTAGCATTTTTTGCTTCCTAAAGTCATAATTGTCATAACTCAGGAAGATTCCTTTTTATAAGGAAGCTGGGTTGTCGAGTCCCAGACAGTAAGTGGTTGAGCCAGGATTGAAGTACAGGTGTGCTTGGGTCTATATACCTAGTGCTTCACTCTGCACAGTGCAGAGGGGTTGTGGGGGTGTGAGTTCTGCAGACTACTGTTTGGCCATGGATTCTTTGGACCCACTTTTTTTTTTCTGGTGAGTTTCTTTTATTTTGCTATTTTGCTTTTTAAAATAATTTATTTTTATTTTGTGTGCTTTGGTGTTTTGCCTGCATGTATGTCTGTGTGAGGGTGTTGGAGCCCCTGGAACCAGAACTACAGATAGTTGTGATCTGCCATGTGGGTGCTGAGAATTGAACCCAGGTCTTCTGGACAAACAGTCAGTGCTCTTAACCACTGAGCCAGCTCTCCAGCCGCTTCTCTTGTAAATGTTTAACATTTGGAAGAAATGTTTCTCCCAAATCTAGTAGAGTCCTGAGTTAGGAATATGCTGTAGTAAAATTTTGTTTTAAATGGTAGATATTAAAGCATGCTTGTCTGCCAGCTAAATAGGTTCTAGATGTCAAGAGGTTATTAAAGGCAAGTGTAAACCAAGACACTAGTTTCTTCTCCTGTTACTGTGGTAAATGCCTGACAAAAGCAACTTAAGGAAGGATTTATTTTGGTTTGCAGGTAAGGTCACAGTCACTGTGGTGGGGAATGCAGAGGGCAGGAAAAAGAGAGCTATGACTGCCTGTGTGCAGCTCAGTTCTCCTTACACAGCCTGGGACCATGGCTCAGGGAATGATGCCACCCACAGTGGGCAGGTCTTCCCACCTCCTTGACCCAACCAGGAGAAGTTCCCATAGGCATGCCACACAGCTGGTCTCCTAGGGGAGTTGAGATTCTGTCAGGATGACAATTGAGTTTCTCTGTCAGACGATTGAACTAGTAATACCAGGGTAGGGTCCCTGCTGTGTCCTTGTGACCTGTAGAGTTATAGAATTAGCAGGAGCTTGGTAGCTGCTTCTTTCACCACCGCTTTCTTGCTCACAGAACACTTAGTGCCACTAGTCAGAAGTTGAATTATGACAGGAGTCCAACTTTGCAGTTCACATTCTGAAAATTTGGATAGACTGGACTGGGTGTGGGGAGATGTCTCAGTCTTAGTGCCTGCTGTGGACACATGAGGGCCTGAATTTGAATTCCCAGCATCCGCGTAGAAGCCAGGAGAGTGTCTGGGAGGTGAGATAGGTGATCCTTAGAGTTCACTAAGTGAATCTGTGAGTTCCAGGTTCTCAAAAACTTAAAATGGGGAGTGGTTGAGGAAGACTCCTGAGTGCTAACTTCTTGCCTCCACATGCACACACTTGTACACCTGTACACCCATGTACATATTTGCACACCTGTACACCCATGTACACTTATGTACATCTGCATACATGCACACTTTTACACATGCACACCTTACAAACATACACAAACAAAAAGACTAAACTCTGGTATCTGGTGGCATGGTTGGCAGCATGGAAGACTGTTTAGGATAGTTGTGCCATTTCACTTTTCCTGTGTGCATAAAGAAGGGTTGTATTGCAAACATTTGGGTTTAGTTTATGGTGATCTTTGTAGGATTTAAAAAAAAAAAGACCTAATATTTTATGATTCTTATATGTAGGTCAGTTGTTTTATAGAGAGGTGTTTGAACTTTACAGTGCAGAGGATGGAGCCTAGGACCCCACACATACTATACAGACATCCTGCCACTGAATGCCACCTCTAGCCCTGTGGATTAGTCATTTTTATACACAGGGCCATCTCAAATCAGAGATGCCGAGGGCGAGTGTCTGTGTCTGCACGGAGTGGGAGTCAGTCCCTCTTGAATTGGTTTGTTTCAAGGCGGTTAAGTCTGAGGAACATGTGTGTGGCTGCTGAGGGTGCCCGCCCTCCTGTGTGGCACTGTTGTATGACTGGACAGTTCTGTCTCGTGACTTTGAGCCAGCCATGCTGCTTGGGTCTTTTCCTCTGTCCTTCTTCAGTACTGTGGGTCACAAAGTCTGCATCTCCCTGAACACTGCTGTATTCTGGGTCCCCAGTCATGGTGTGATGGAGCTGTGGCAGCTGGGGTGAGGTCCATGGGATCCTGCAGCAGCCACCGTGTGCCTGAGGCACAAAGAGGAAGAGAGGTGAGGCTAATTGCTGGCAGACTCAGGCCAGGAAGGGTGATGAGACTGCCCAGGTCTGAAAGCACATAAGCCTCCTGGGTGAGGGGTTGATGGCACTGGTGTGAGCAGGTGAGTAATTACGTGGCTGTGTGTGTGCTTCTGCCGACACCAGTGTATCCTGCTTGGTCTTCTGGGGAGCATTGCAGAATGGCCTGAAAGTTGTATGTGGTACTAGGCAGTGGTTGGAGTGGAGCAGTGGAGTGAACTTCGCTTCTGTGGGGCTGTTTTTTTGGTGTTCTTTTGGGAAGTCTTGACGTGTGTCTGTGCTCAGGGTGTGGCTGAGGAAAGCTGCTGTGTCCTGGGGTCTCTGCACCAAGACACTAGTGGTGCTTTTCCTTTGCCCATCACCTTAGTAATATGTGCTAGGTTTCTGAGGGTGGCCCCAACAAGCTCTCAGCTGTTGATTCTCCCTGGGTTGCAACATTGGTGTAGAGCTCTTCCCCTTATACACCCTGGAAAGACCGTCTTCTTTAGACCCGAGGTTGGTGGTGGCTGCCCTCTTTTCCTGTTGCTTTTTGAGAACTGTGTCTGGCTTAAATTACTGTTTCTGGAGCAGTGTCTGGAGTCACAGTGTGCTTCTGTCACTAGGCCTTTGACACTTGGGTTCAGTGAGTGTGTTAGGAGGACACTGTCATTGTGGGTGCAGCATCCAGATTTCTCCACAAAGGAATGAACTCGCTGCATGGTCCCTCCTCTTCCTGGCTGTCTCCCAGCTGCCCCCATGAATAAGTCCATTCATGATGAAGCTAGAGTTGGGCATCAGCGGAGACAGAGCCTGTGGTGTTTCTTCTTGGGGTTGAGTGTATAAGCTGCTTCTAACACTTCATCTAATGGGGGCTCCTAGAGCTCACAGAGCCCGAGCTGAGCTGAAGAGCCATACGAAGGCTGAAGGGTTTAAACCTCTGCTTAGATCATCAAAAATTATGGTCAGCAAAACAAAAGGGAGGCTATGTTGGTCACCCTTGCAGTCTGTGTGTGATTTGGTGGGCATGGATGCTATCTTGGCTGCCCTTGTAGTCTGTGTGAAGTGGGCGTGTGTGGCTTTGTGAGGCAGGTAGTACATAGCATTCAGGAAGTGCTCAGAAAGCCTTCACTGTGACCTAACTCAAAGAGCCCCGTGGCAGCGATGGAAAGGCCTTGAGAGGGACTTCCCTCTCTGATGGGGGCCCTGTAGAACTCTTGATTGCTGCCTTTTGGACCTGGAGCTGCCCTATGGGGCTGGTGACAGAAGGACCCACTGTTAGGTTTTGACTCTGCAGTTCACCAGGTGTCCAATATGGAAGGAGAGAACTGCTTTGAAAAGGAAACTTTATGTGTATGTATGGGGGTGGGGAGGCTTCCTAGATCTTGATCCTAGTGACTTGGGATGCCAGGGACTATGTTCCCAGTTTGTCCTTCCCTCCCCTTCTCTCCTTTCCCCTCCCCTTCCCCAATTATTTGGAAACAGTTTATGCTATTTGCCCATGTTGCTCATGCTATCCTTGAACTTGCCCCATAGGCCAAGCAGATCTTGAATTTGTAATTGTCCTGCCTTGGTCTCCCAAGTAGCTGAGATGACAGGTCTGCTTATTAGGCTTAAATAAAGGACATTTTTTTTTTTTCAGGGATTAAGACTGCTATACCCTGAGTAGCTGCTAGGCCCAAGGACAGGGGACAGGTGTGTTGGCAGCAGTGCTTGTGGCCCCAGGCCCTTGGGAAATCCACAGTTTCTGTCCTGCTTGGTCAGGTGGCTATGGTGTTGGTGGTTTTCGGTTGGAAACATTTATTTAAGCTGGTCTGTTTGGTACTTTGTGTTTATCTAGAAATTTTAGAGTTCACTAGTCTTTGCTAAATTTGTTATACTAATGTAAGCTATTTGGAAAGATTTTATCTTTATAATTACTCTGTTATCTTCAAGAAGAATGAATGTCTACATAAGGACTCTTTGATTGACCTTTCATCTTCAATATATGTTTTGTGTGGGATGGTCTAAAACATCACAGTGTCTAACAAAAATCCCTGTCTCCCACAAGTTTATTTAGACCCAGTCTAAAGCAGAGGTTCTCAACTTTCCTAATACTGCGACCCTTTAATATAGTTCCTCATGTCATGGTGACCCCAACCATAAAATTATTTTCATTGCTACTTTATAACCATAATTTTGCTACTGTTATGAATAGTAATGTAAATATATGATATGCAGGATATCTAATATGGAACCCCTGTGAAAGGGTTGTTTGTCCCTAGTGGGTTATAATCCACAGGTTGAGAACCATTGGTTTAAAGAGTAAAGTTTTGGACTTGAGATATGTCTTACAGGCAGTCTGTGTCCATTATCTAAGTGCTTGGAACCAGAACACTGTCAGGTTTTAGAGTTGGGGGGTTGGGCATATTTACATAGACTTTACTGGTTGAAATTCTTTAACTCATACTCTGAAATGGTCCAAAGTGTAAGACTCCTGAGAGAGCTCAAAGTCTAAGCATCCTGAGAGAGCTCAAAAAGCTTAAGGTTCTTGGTCACTTTGGATCACTTTTTTTGGGGGGGGGGGGGCGGGGCTGCTTTGCTTAGGGATGTCCAGCTGCATACAAAAAGAACAGGTTTTATATAGTTCAGTGAGCTTCAACAAGTGTGTAACCCCATACCCAGTTAGAATACAGAGTCAGTCTGTCACCAGCACACTCACCACCTGGTTGTAC